TTTAACCAGCCTGGTTGACCAGCTAAAACCAGCCAACGCTGGGCGCTACCTTGGTGGGCGGTACAAGGTTCACTATGTAGTTGGCGATTGCCTATACCTCCTTCTACCCTAAACCCAACTGTCACAGTAGCATGGGTGCTACTTTACTGGGTGGTAGTTGAGGATCGCCTTCACCTCCCTCTACCCTTAACCCAACCATCACAGTAACATGAGTGCTACCTTGGTGGGCGGTACAAGGTCCACTATGTAGTTGTGGATCGCCTACACCTCTCCCTACCCTAAACCTAACCATCACTGTAGCATGGGCGCTACCTTAGTGGGCAGTATAAGGTCCACTACGTAGTTGACAATCGCCTACACCTCCCCCTAACCTAAACCCAACTTTCACAGTAACATGAATGCTACCTTAGTGGGTAGTACGAGATCCACTGTGTGCTTGACAAACACCTACACCTCCCCTTACCCTAAACCCGACCGTCACAAAAGCATGGGCGCTACCTTGGTGGGCGGTACAAGGTTCACTATGTAGTTGATGATCGCCTTCACCTCTCCCTTGCCTAATCCCAAACATCACAGTAGCATGAGCACTACCTTAGTGGGCGGTACAAGGTCCACCATGTAGTTGGCGATCACATACGGCATCAAGCGAGGACATCTTGCAAAATCTCCCTAAGCTTTGAGCAAAAAGCAGGATATTTCTATGTAGTAAACTTGTTCCTGCTGCTTGTAATAGTGTTACTATGCTGTAATGGCAATGCTGGTAAAATTAAGCATCTCTGTTCAAATATATTCATTCATTTTATTTTTGGCTTAGTCCCTTTATTAATCTGGGGTCGCCCCAGCAGAATGAACCGCCAACTTATCCAGCACGCGGATGCCCTGTTGGCGCATTAACCACTGGACTATCGTGCCAACATTACTAAAACCAGTTTAAGCAAATTAATGTAGTTAAACTTAAAGTCGTGCAGAATTATATTTTGTAATAATATATGAAATAATTATTACAAAGCATGTTTTCGCTTTTGGTTTTCAGCCAAATGCATCCATAATTTTTAATTCTGGCCTTGAATTTCAGTGAATTTCAGCACTTCCTCTAATAATAACACAGTTTAATGACTCATTAGTCACTATTTTGACATTCTGTCTGTCCTCTGTCTGTCTTCTTGGATGGTTTAACTGTCTCGCGCCACTTTGCCAAAACCTCTTCATCGCCACCTGCTCTGAAAATTAATTAATTTCTCAGAGCCACTATCGCACAGACATTTAAGTGTTTAGATGTTGTCATTTGAGTTTTATGGAAGCTGTAAAATAGTGCTCTGCTCTTATGAATGAATTAATAGTCAGCCCAGAGGGTAATGCGCATATCTGCACAGCTGCTGATTTGTCGATTGTCTCTTTTTTTTTCTCCCCGGCAGGCAGTATGGATTACTTTCCCCTCACATCTCTTCCTAATTAGACACTTTTTTCCCCTCAGAGGATTGTGTAGCTTTTTCATATTGCAATGTTCATGAAATGGCAAAAAGATGAAGTCACAGCATACTGCATTTATATGCAACTATATGGGGAGTATTACGGCCAATGAGAATCAAGTTTTACCAGAGATAATCAGGCAGATACAGGGAAATTAACATATTCCCAGCCCTCTTTTTGTTATTTTAATTTCATATCCAATCATATCCATTACTGAATTTTTTTCTTGATTCTTTAACGTTATGCTGGAGTTATTGTAGGTTTTGTTGAAATGCAACTTTTTAGCAAGGAAACATGGGGTTTATTGCATCAAACTTTGTTTCTTGGTTTTTGGGTTGTGTTTTGTTTAGTTTATTTTCATTTTGCTTTGTTTTGTTTCAGTCTGTTTTGTTTTTCTGGATTGGGTTTTGTTCTGTTTAGTTTAGTTTTGCTTTGTATTTGGGGTTGGGTTATGTTTTGTTTGTTTTTGTTTTGTTTTTTGGGTTGTGTTTTGTTTAGTTTATTTCACTTTGTTTTGTTTTGTTTCATTCTGTTTTGTTTTTCTAGGTTGGGTTGTGTTTAGTTTAGTTTTGCTTTGTATTTGGGGTTGGGTTGTGTTTCAGTTCTTTTTGTTTTGTTTTTTGGGTTGTGTTTTGTTTAGTTTATTTCACTTTGTTTTGTTTTGTTTCATTCTGTTTTGTTTTTCTAGGTTGGGTTGTGTTCAGTTTAGTTTAGTTTTGCTTTGTATTTGGGGTTGGGTTGTGTTTCATTTCTTTTTGTTTTTTGGGATGTGTTTTGTTTAATTTCACTTTGTTTTGTTTCATTTTGTTGCATTTTGTTGTTGTTTTGGGTTGTGTTTCGTTTGTTTTTGTTTTGTTTTTTGGTTTGTGTTTTGTTTAGTTTAATTTCACATGATTTTGTTTTGTTTTATTCTATTTTGTTTTTTGGGTTGGGCTGTGTTCAGTTTAGTTTAGTTTTGCTTTGTATTTGAGGTTGGGTTGTTTTGTTTGTTTTGGTTTTTGGGTTGTGTTTTGTTTAGTTTATTTTCACTTTGTTTTGTTTTGTTTTGTTTTATTCTGTTTTGTTTTTCTGGGTTAAGTTGTGTTCAGTTTAGATTAGTTTCGCTTTGTATTTGGGGTTGAGTTGTGTTTCGTTTCTTTTTGTTTTGTTTTTTGGGATGTGTTTTGTTTCATTTCACTTTGTTTCGTTTCATTTTGTTGCATTTTGTTGTTGTTCTGGGTTGGGTTGTGTTTCGTTTGTTTTTGTTTTTGTTTTTTGGGTTGTGTTTTGTTTAGTTTAATTTCACATGATTTCATTTTGTTTTGTTTTATTCTGTTTTGGTTTTTGGGTTGGGCTGTGTTCAGTTTAGTTTAGTTTTGCTTTGTATTTGGGGTTGAGTTGTGTTTCGTTTGTTTTTGTTTTGTTTTTTGGGTTGAGTTTTGTTTTTATGCACAATTTTACTTTATTTCGTTTTGTTTTGTTTCATTCTGTTTTGTTATTTTGGGTTGGGTTGTGTTCAGTTTAGTTTTGCTTTGTATTTGGTGTTGGGTTGTGTTTCAGTTCTTTTTGTTTTGTTTTTTCGGATGTGTTTTGTTTAATTTCACTTTGTTTAATTTCATTTTGTTTAGTTATTTTGGATTGGGTTGTGTTTAGTTGATTGTCTTTGCAAATGCCCAACTTCTTGCCATCTGACAAGCTTTTAGGATCAGCCATTTGCTTCCCTGTTAGTTTGTGCAATCTCTACGGAAGGCCTAATGGTTGGTGGGGAGTTGGACTTGTAATCAAAAGGTTGCAGATTCGATTTCTAGTCCCAGCTGGAATTGAGCAAGGCACCTAACCCCTAAGACCTGCTCTGGGTGTGTTTCAGTCAAAGTTGGCTGCCAGTTAAAAAGTGTTTAGTAAGTTTGGAAAATATCTATGGTAAATTTTCAAAATCTCTACTGTACACCTAAAAAGTCCTTGATTGTATATTTTAATAAGGACAAGCAAGGGTATAGTACCAGAGCATCGACCATAGTTTACAGTTTTGACTGTGATACCATCTTCAACTACCCGGTTATCTGGATTCTAGGGTATGCTGAGGAGCACCATTGTATTTGTGAGTGATGGATGCAGTGCATTTTTTTGTATATTCATGCTGTTATATATGTTAAATATGTGCACTTGAGGAACATTTCTCCTCCTCCCTTTACTCACTCTCCCACTGCCTCTCTGTTCCTCTGTAGTAAGCACACACACACGCTCACACACACCCCCATGAAATTCTCTGACACAGTGCCACACACACCCACATACTTTGAGAAACAGAATAGCTGCACACACACACACACACACACACACACACACACACACACACACACACACACACACACACACACACACACACACAGAGGGGTGTTTGGCAGGCTAAAGGGGATTTCTCCGCTCACAGTGAAGGCGTGATCACATCATATCTGAATATTTGTTCTGATGTGTTTGTCCGACAGTATCTGCTACTGTTACCATGTTGATGTCATGTCTGTTTGCTACGACGTGATTGGCAGATAATCCTGAGGGCGGGGCCAATCACACACAAACTTGTTTATGATGATGTAAAACGTCCATGAGCTCATCATGCCCCCGCTCACGCTCACAAAACGAGTGTGTGCTAATGACTTCACCCAGACTGTTTGAAAACTCAAAGAGACGCCACTTATTTTGTAGATGCTCACTTGGGAGGGCACTCAAGCGTTTCTTCGAGATGCACCCTTTCGGCTTTTAAACTGAACTACACTCAGGTGGATTTCAGGAGACTCTTGAACAGATGTGCTGTCAGCTTTCATAGAGGCCGCAGGCTTCTGTAATATTAGACTGCACTCGGTGTCACTACAGTGTTATTGAAACCTCTTAAAGAGACAGTGACACAAATCATAGCTCTGTCAGGATTTACTCTTGCTTATGTCAGACGGGAAATATCTTTCCTGAAAAAAATTCAAATGCTTTTGTCAGCTGAAAACCTTTAATCTAAACATTTGTTTATATACAGTTGACGTCAAAATTATTAGGCCTCCTGTGAAATGTGTGTTCTTTTTCAAATAGTAATTTTGAGTTGGATTTTGTTTTGTTTAGTTTAGTTTCACTTTGTTTTGTTTCATTTAATTTTGTTTAATTTTGTTTTTTGGAGTTGGGTTGTGTTGTTTTTCATTTAGTTTAGCATCACTCCATTTTGTTTTGATTTGTTTTTAGTTTTTTTAAGTTGGATTCTGTTTTGTTTTGTTTTATTTAGTTTCACTTTGTTTCGTTTTATTTAATTTTTAATTTAAATTTTGGGTTTGTTTGTGTTTCGGTTTTTTTTTGGGTTTAGTTTAGTTTCACTTTGTTTTGTTTTGCATTGCTTTGCTTTGTTTTTGGGTTCGGTTGTGTTTGATTTCGTTTAGTGTAATTTCACTCTGGTTCTTTTAGTTTCGTTTTGTTTTCTTTCATTTAGTTTTGTTTCACTCCCGTTTGTTTTGCTTTGCTTAGTTTTTTCAGTTCAACTTCACTCTATTTTGTTTTTTGTTTTTTTAGTTGGATTGTGTTTAGTTTAGTTTAGTTTTACTTTGTTTTGTTTCATTTAATTTTGTTTCGTTTAGATTTTTTTTTTTTTTTTTTTTTGGTTATGTTACATTTAGTTTAGCTTCACTCTGTTTTGTTTTCTTTTCTTTTTTGTTTTTTTAGTTGAATTGTGTTTTGTTTATTTTAGGTTTATTTCGTTTTTCTTTTCATTTTGTTGCATTTTGGTTTGTTTTATGGGGTTGGGTTTTTGGTTTTATTTAGTTTAGTTTAGTTTAGTTTAACATTGTTTTGTTTTGATTTGCTTTGCTTTGTTTGTTTTTTGGGTTGGGTTGTGTTTCATTTTATTTAGTTTAGTTTCACACTGTATCTTTTTGTTTTGTTTTGTTTTGTCAGAACTATGCATTATATATTTAACATATATTATGTTAGGTTCACTTCAAACGCATATAATAGAAGACTTACATGATTTCTGCAATATAAGCATTGTAGTTGGAAACATCTGTTTTTTTTTCTCACTTTATTAATCAAGGGTCACCACAGTGGAATGAACTGCCAACTAATCCAGCATATGTTTTTTACGCAGCAGATGCTCTTCCAACCACAAACAAACACTGGGAAACACACATACACCCATCTTGCATTCACACTCATACACTACGGCCAATTTAGCTTATTCAATTCACATATAGCGCATGTCTTTGGACTGTGAGGGCACTCAGAGGAAACCCACGCCAACATGGGGAGAACATGCAAATCCACATAGAAATGCCAAATGGCCCAGCCGGGGCTCGAACCAGCAACCTTCTTGCTGAGAGCCGATCGTGCTACCCACTTCGCCACCGTGACACATTTGTTATTTTATTTTATTTTATTTAGCTTTTTTTTATTTTATTTTATTTTATTTTGCTTTTATTTTATTTTTATTTTTATTATTTTATTTTATTTTATTTTGCTTTATTTTATTTTATTGTCAATCCTCCATTCACTTTCAGTAACGTCTTTGTCAGCACTTTCATTACATTAGTAACATCTGCTCATGTTTCCTGTATGTGTTACAGGCCCGGGACGACATTCTAAACGGATCCCACCCCGTGTCCTTTGATAAGGCCTGCGAGTTCGCTGGAATTCAGGCGCAGATCCAGTTCGGTCCCCACGTGGAGCACAAACACAAGCCAGGATTTCTAGAGTAAGACCACATGCCTTCAACAATGTAACTGTAACACACACACACGCACACACACACAGTTGTGATGTGATTACATTTTAGACCAGACAATTATATGCAAGAATTGAGTTTTGTCTGGAAACTTTAAAGAGCCGCTGTGGGTGTACATTTTGAAGATGTAATTCCTGGCAGGATGAGCTCATGTGTTTTGTTCTGCTCGGAGGGGAAAGTGTTGTAAATATCAGTGTAAAACTGTGAAATGTGTTTGCAGCCTGAAGGAGTTCCTACCAAAAGAATACATCAAACAGAGGGGGGCGGAGAAGAGGATTTTTCAGGTACGTGACCCTCATGTGGCTTCACTCACTCTGTTAGTTCTAAAAAAGGAATAGAGGCAAATAGTCGGACTTAAATCATCCAAAATAAAAGTTTTTTTTGTAACACTTTAGAATAAAAGTCCATTAGTTAATTACAGTTTTTCTCAGTGGCTTTGGTGCATTTCTCACTACACTGTTTACATTTGCACGACAGGTTATGCATTTCTCAAAACAATTAGTCATTTGTGCACATCCTAGTAGCAGTTTCTCATTCCTTTCATCAAATTGCAGATGCTTTTGGACGTGCATCAATTGCTTTCATTCAATTCTCTGCTGTTTATAACATTATCATTTGCTTATGTCATGTCAGTTAAAATGAACTAAACTTGTAAATGCTGAATAGTCATTCTATATAAAACTAACAGTCCTCATTTCATTACTTGAGTCATTAAATACAAAGATGTTGAACTTGATGTCAAAATCGGTCAAGCAAACTTTATAAAAAAAAATTTAAACTTTATTTTCCTGAAAATGTATTTACATACAAAAAGTTGAACTAGTTGTCAAAATCTTTCAAGAAAATTTTATAAAACAAATTGAAATGTTTATTTTCCTGAAAATGTCTTTAAAATTGAACAATTTGATGAATGATTTACAGACCTGTGTATGTTGTAGGCTCAGTTCCAATGTGTTCTGCAATATTATTTACAGTTGTGCACTGCTCTACCTAAAGGAAGCTTATGGTTGTTGTAAATAAGGGTGTGTTTATTCTTTTGCTCAATGCTGGGAATAAATTAGGATTGTAAAGAGCAAATGCAGTAAAAAAAGTGAAACATACATATTCAGTGTCTTGTACTCAGATACCTCACTCAATGCAGTGATGTCTCACTTTACTGTAGTTTTCAAATGGCTGTGCGAATAGTATAAAGTGCTGTCTTGAGCATTTTCAGGAAGTGTCACCAAAATTAGACTTTTTTTTGCATTGAAAAAAGGTCCAGAGTAAACTCATAATGAAAACATGACTAAGCCATTTGACTATCTTGTTCATAAACAATAGTGTCAGGACTTTTCATTTTGATGACACTGACACTTTGATTGACATGAATACTTGCTTTTGAGGAATGAGCTCTCCATTTTGAGCATGTGACGCGCTTTTGCAGGTTATCAGCTAGGTTTTGCAGTTTGTACTAATTGTTTTGAGAAATGCATTAACTGTTGTGCAAAAATGCACTAGTGTTGTGAGAAACACACCAAAGCGACTGAGAAAAACTGTAAGCTAACATTAGGTATCAATATTCTTGTAAATCATTGATTAGACATTATTAAACATGAACTAATGCAACATCAAAATCCTAAGTTGTGCTTGTTAACATTAGTTAATGCACTAGGTTAACATTAACTAAAGTAATATTACATTAACTATAGGTAATATATATAAATGGATGCAATAATAAATGTATTACTAATAGATTGTGAATACATTAACTAATGTAACTAATGGATTGTTGTTTTATAGTGTTACTGTATTAGTAGGTAGTCAGCAAAAAGGGATGGTTATAACATTTATTAATATGTGCAAAACTGCAGGAGGTGAATTGGTTATGTTGGATTTTACTTATTTGCTGAGGTTATTCTACATATTTCATGTTAATATTTTGGATATATCTAAATGCAGTCAAAATACTGTTGTATTTCCTTTTATTATCTTTAATTAAAAATCAAATTAAGAGAAAACATTTTAATTCGTTTAAATAGATAATAAAAACAGGGTTGAAATTTGTTGATTGATAAATTAATGAATAAATAAATACGTATAAACCTGTATATAATAAGAAAAATATTTTTAAAACAAATAAGACTTTCTCCAGAAAAAAATATTTTATAGGAAATACTGTGAAAAAAATTCCTTACTCTGTTAAACATCATTTGAGAAATATTTAAAAAAGAAACAAAAAAAATGTACAGGAAGGCGAATAATTTCGCCTTCAGCTGTATGGATTCCATCCCAGAACAACAAGCACAACAGCAAGACATTTATTTGTGATTTGTTCCTGTATTTCTTCAAAATATGCATATGTACTGAAATCCCAAAATGTGTTTGTTTAGCATGTTAGCAACATATATTCTGGATCTGTTCATTTTATTCCTAGAAGTCTCTCCTAGATCAAAAATAATGCATTGTAAGGGTAATAACAGAGGCACAAATTATGTAGACTGTGAATTGAAACAACCACAGACTAAGTTGTCCTTTAAACAAAAGGTTATTGGGTCAAATGCCACAGTGGCTAAAAAATGTGCATGTCTTCAAAACATAAATAAATAAATAAATAAATAAGTATAATTAAATATAATTAAATAAATAAATAAAATAATTAATTAAATAAATAAATAAATAAATAGATAAATAAATAAATATAATTTTAAAAAGTAAAAAAACTATAAAATAATAATAATAATAATAATATAAAAAATAATAAATACAATTCAAATTAAAAAGATAAAATAAAAATAAATTATTATAATTATTATTATTTTCTCCCAAAAAATTCAAAATTCATGTCTTTATCTCTTGCCAGGATCATAAAACCTGTGGCGAGATGACGGAGATTGAGGCTAAAGTCAAGTACGTGAAGCTCGCCAGATCCCTGCGCACATACGGAGTCTCCTTTTTCCTGGTCAAGGTGAGTTTTATGCAGTTTTTACAGAACTTTTGAATGAGCCACCTTCAGTGTTCAGGATAACACACCATATCACAAAGCGTGAATCATCTTAAACAGGTTTCTTGAACATGACAATGAGTTCACTGCACTCAAATGACCTCCACAGTCACCGGAGCTCAATCCAATAGAGCACCTTTGAGGTGTGGTGTAGCGAGAGATTCGCATCATGGATGTGCAGCCAAAAAGTCTGCAGCAACGTGATGCTATCATGTCAGTATGGAGCAAAATCTCTACTGAATATTTCCAGTATCTTGTTGAATCTATGCCACAAAGGATTAAGGCAGTTCTGAAGGCAAAAGGGGGTCCAACCCTGTACTAGTAAGGTGTACCTAATAAAGTGGCCGGGTAAAAAAATGTAGTGAATAACAAAACATTGTATTTAACCACAGAGAGCTGCAATTTCCAGCCATAATCAAGTATTCCAGAGAGTCTTATAATTATTTGTTAGATCCAGAACAGTAAGCCTGTGTTTGTTAATCCTAAAAACAAGGTTTTGAGAAAGCGTTTTGTTTACTCCGGTTCTGTTTGTGTTTTCAAGACTATTAAGCGTTTTTAATCTGTACTGCACACAGAAGAAGATTTACAAGCCGCCACTCAGGGATCAGTTTCGGGTTGTTAGTGGAGTGTTGCTAAGTGGCCAGTTTCAAATTAACAGTGCCTAACAATAGATAGCTCCACTTTGAATGAGCAAAGGCACCGTTCCTGACTGCCGCAGACAATCGAACAATGAACATTTACCTCCCAAAACATCTATATTTATGCACCCTACTTGAACCTCACCCTTGAAAAGTGATGTCACTTAAGGACCACAAACAATATCAGCAAATCTTGCTGTTATTTATACAGCGCTCTTATCTGAGGTTGTTATTTTCGACCCTCAGGTGGACACAATAGCCCAGAGACGTACTGCACAAGAGGCCGTTTAAACATTTAGTGTTGTTTTAATGTATTTGTGTGGCGGTCCGAGGCCTCTGGCAGGATGCCATCAGCAGGCAATTGTTTTGGGTTGTGTGTGAGAGCTAAAGGGAAATGACAGAAGGCACCAGGACATAACCGAGAGGTACGCAGTGTTTGAGATGACCGACCATGTGCCACCTGCACTCACTGCCTCTATTATAGTAACCCCTTTCACACAGTGATACCGGTAAATATCCGGAAAATTTCCGGAACGACTTTACCGGTATATTCAAAAAAGCGCTGTTCACACAGGCGAGGACGTTACGGAATTTTTCCGCAAAAGATCATTCACACATCCATCCCAAAATGCCGGTAAATTCTGACATCATTAACCAGAAATGAGCTCTAAACGGCTGCGCTTGTGTTTGCAAACATTTGACTACATTACAAACTCTTCGGATGGATCAGTATAGTGAACAACTCCAATAAAAACATAGAGGAACACTTTCGCATGTCGAGATGTTCATGATAGGTGTGTGTGCTGGCGCTATGGGCACTCACGGGCACACACAAAGCTTGAAGGTAAACAAACAAACAACGGATTATCATAAACATTTTATTGATAACTATTTACACAGTTAGCATTAGGAAGGAATATAGAAACGTTATCTGACTAACATCTAGCAGCTAAAGGTGTCTGGAAAAATATTCAAAGGCTTTTATTCTCATAAACCGCACGGACATGAATGCGTCTGACTATTCTGATTGGCTAAAGCAGGTGTCTCACGTCAGCACGTTCTAGACGTGGACGCGCTCTTTCCGGCAATCTTCCTTCTGCGTTCTCACAGCGCAGCATTCCAGCAAATAACCGGTAATGTTACAACTTCTCTTTCCGGAAAATAGCCAGAATGAATTTACCGGTATTTTCAAAAAGGGCCTGTTCACACATACAACCTTTCCGGAAAATTGCCGGCAATTTTCCGGAAAGGTCTGTATGTGTGAAAGGGGCTAGTGTCACGAATTTAAAGGTGGTGAGTCAAGGGGAAGGAGAGTAACATTCATTTTGGGTAAAACACATAAGCAAACACACAATATCAACAAGTGATGTCACGGTCGGTGAGAGGAAAAAGGGAGCGAGGACCCAATTGCAGACAAATAAGGATTTATTATAAAATACAAATAAAAGGCAAAACAAAACTACCCCGAGGGGGAAAACGTGAATAAAAAGGCAAAAACAAACTTGGCTGGACAAAGCAGGGCTGGACACAACAGGACAGGGAACTATCGACGACATGTGATGACGAACTGGCACAGAACAGAAGACATGAGGAGATTATAAGCAGGAGCAAATTAACACACAACAGATGAACATAATTAACTAATAATGGGTTAACAAGTGGGGTGGGGCTAGACAATAGACGGGAGAGCGCATGACAGAGACAAGACAAGCCATGCGCTCACACAAAACAGGACAAGAACATGCAGCCAATGAGAGAACTCATTAACCGCACGTTCATGACAAGACTAGCACAACACTGAAGCACATGACAAAAGCACGTGACCACAATGTAAACACAGAGTCACGTGCTTTGACAACAGACGCAAGACACGAGCACACGATGAATGAAAACACTCATCGTGCGCTCACACACGCAGCGTGAGTGTTTCATCCCAGCGCCGACCAAAACCGAAACCAACTGGATTGAGACGCTGGGAAAGAAACACCACGCTGCAGACAGACGAAAACACAAACACGAGTACAAGAGCGCGCGCGTCCGAGGCACACAAAGACAGAAACAGGACCAGACAGAGCTAGTGTCCGAGCTCTGCCACCAAAACAAGACATTACAAGACCAGAGTGGCAGAACCCTGACAAGTGAGGGACAAAACACCAAAATGCATGAAACTAAATGCAATGAAGTAAGTTTATTTACAAAGATAGTTATGATAATAATAAATGCAAATATATATATATATATATATATATATATATATATATATATATATATATATATATATATATATATATATATATATATATATATATATATATATATATATATATATATATATATATATATATATATATATATATATATTATATATATATATATATATATATATATATATATATATATATATATATATATATATA